GCAAGAAAAGGAGTCTTTTAGGAGTCTTTTGAGCTGAAAGTTCTCTAGATTATTCTTCCCTACTTGTAGTGCAAGTCAAGGCACAAGATCCCCTAGTTATTTAGTTTTCTTAATGCTTTATGATATCTAGATTAATTAGGATACTTAATATTTTATTGCTTATTTAGTTTCCTAAGTAGATTAGACTTAGACAAATCTTGTGCCTATATAAAGGCCCCTTCCCCCATGTTATTTTTAATCATTCAAGAAATCAATAGAAATCTAGAACTTTGTTCTTCCAACTTTGCTTTTATCTTTTCACCAAAATACTACTGCAATTTTATTCGTTTCAATAGGCGCGGTTGTGGCTAGAGAAACACTATCGGCGATTCAAGGCGGGTTAGCGGCTTATCGGCAGTCGAAACACACGATCCTCATCATTGGTGCTTTCATTGAGAGGTGTTGATCGTGTGTTTTTCTTCTACCCCATTCCCTTTCTTTTTATCTTCTTTTTTTTCGTCCCCCTATTAAAAAAAAAATCGTGAGGTTGTGTGCTCGTGAGAGGGGCTAGCTGATCGAAAAAAAAAAAATCTTCATCATGAGTCCTCGAAGTAAAGAGCAAAGGCAAGAAAAGAAAGACATGGCCGACAAGGAGATGAAGAACAAACTCGAGAACTTGGGTGTGCGAGTCCGAAACCTAGGCGAAGGGTTTGACACCACCACGACATCGGTGCGGGATTTAATAGAGAACATGAACTGGAGGTTCGACGAGATGGCGTGCAACTTCCAACACCGGCAGGCACAGCCATCACTGCAGCCACACGGGAGCAAACGACCCGGGGAGTACGATCGACATTACACCGAGTACAAACAAGAGGAGGATGTCGAGCAGCGGCCTCAGGCATCAAACATTCATGACCGACCATGGCTCGACGAGTGCTTAAGGATTGCGCATCGACCAACCGCGAACAATGATCGACCACAACTGCATGAACCGCGACAACCACCTTACGGGTACGATCGGTCGAGGAGAGAGCACGAGCAAGCTGAGATCAAGTAAGAGGAATCGCGAGTAAGCGACAAAGCCCAAGGCGAGTCCAAGAGTGAGACGGAGGTCGGATTGGTCTAGCACGATAAGTGTGAGGTGGAAATTATTGTCGAGCCGATCGAGTGCGATAAACCGTACTCGTTCAAAAAAGAGGTTATGAGCGAGGCCGATGGAGTCCAGGATGAGGAGGACCATGAAGAGGTTACGTTCGAAGTCCTAAAGGTCGAAGAGGAGGCGACGTCCCGAAAAACTATCTATGCCAAGAGTAAAGTCATGGTCGAGGAGGATCGTGAATGGGATGCGTGCACGGTTAAAGAAGGAGTGCCTGAAGTTTGGATGTTCTATGATGAGTCCTTGAGGACAAGGACATTCTCAAAGGGGGTGGGAATGATGCGGAAGTGGGTTTCGAGCCCCGACGACAAGAAGGTCCAAGAGCCGAGAAGGCTCGAGAAGGCCGAAAAAAGGGCCAAAACTATGGCATTAATTATTTATTTGTTTATTCATGCATGGAATTAATTGTTGCCTTGTGTGCATAGGGTTATTTAGAATTGCATGAATATATATTAAAAATCCTCATTTAAATACTAAGTTGAGAAGGATATTTAAAGTTAAGATAATTTTAAATTCCTAAGGCCTCCATTTCTAATTCGTTGGTAAATCAATTAATTGATAGTGTGGGCTTCGCCGAGGATGACATTACTTGAAATTAATTGAAGGATAATTATCACAAAGAATTTCTCAATTTAGACGGTTGGAGGAAATCGAATGAGAGCGTACGGGTCACCCCGAGGTGAAC